GAAAAAATAATAGTCGCAACTGCAGGGGGAAATGATATGAGAAAATAATTGGTAACATATCTTAGTCTCGGAGTAAGTAAAGATCAGTGACTGCTCTAGACTCTGTCAAGCCAAACATGAGGTACCCACTATCATCCATAGTTGGGGGAAAAATAGGGTTTTCATTGTGTGTGCATAAAGAGCTATAGTTAGATAGTTATATTGAAAGGTAGGCTTGCAGCACTGGATACAGAGAGCTAGTCTCTGTATCAAACGTTTGAGGCTTGCAGTGTCAAGGCTCTCTGTGCTGCTGCATTGTGAGCTGTCTGACTGTAGTTATGGCATAAATTGCAAACAAAATGAATTTGAAATAAACTAATTTAATTTGCAATAATGCTAATTGTTTTTACACGATTGTGGGGTACAGTTGCATAGCCTGGCAGTCGTGTATACATAAGTGCCAGTATGAAGGGGTAATTGGAAACAAAAATGAAAATTTTGGTTGGGAAAAAAAGCTTTAAAAAAATAATTTACCAAAATATAAGATTGAAGATAAGAAAATAGTGTCATGGCCATTCTCCCAGCATATTCTATAATCCATATCCTATATGTTCTTTATATATGTTTCCCATGTATTGTATTTATATGTATACTATATATGTTGCCACTTTACCTTTGCATTGTCCATGCCATAGCATCCTCACATTGCAGCCACAGACACACACATACACACTGATACATGCACACATATAAACACTGTTACACACATAAATATGCACACTAATACACAAACACATATACATAGTCTGATAAAGGTATATGCATACACACACAAACAAACACACTGATGTACAGAGATACACACATGACAAATACAGATATGCCATCGCAATCTAAATTGGTCTGTGTGTATTTCTGGCAATTTCTACCTGTGTATATGCCTGAGAGTGTTTGCCTGACCATGAGTATCCTTGTGTGTGAATGGATGTCTCTGTGAACATATGTATATTTATGTCTGGGCAGTGGCAGAACTACTGCTGGTGCAGCTGGTGCAGCTGGTGCAGCTGGTGCTCAAGGGGCCAAACAGGTGGTCAATGCACTTAGCGCGATGGCCATCGTTAAACAGGGGCCCACTCAGATGCCATGGCCCAATAGCAGTGCGATTGGGCTCCTGCTCTGTGTGAACCCGCGGTGCTGGGAGTAAGTGAGTGAGTACAAGTTACTTCCTCCCAGCTTACCATGGAACCATGTGGGAGACAGCACAAGAGAGGAGGGAGATAAATGAGAGCAAGGGAGAGAAGCCTCCCATTACAGTGTGCCCAATTCCACTGGACCCCAGGAATGCCATGCTCCTGCATCAAAAAGGTATGAAAGGGGGAGATGTCTAAAAAAAGTAGTGGGCTCATTCTGTTTATGTGTTGTTATCTGTGTGCATGTGCTATCTCTCTGTGTGTATATGGTATCTGTGTGTGTTATCTGTGTGTATATGTCTGTTTGTGTTAACTGTGTGTCTGTATATCAATTTTTATCTGTGTTTCAATATGGGCTCCTGTGTGTCTGTGTATCTGTATGTGTGTCGGTGTTCGCATGTGTATGAGTGTCATTGTGTGTTTCTGTATCTGAATATGTGTCAGTGTGTGTGTATGTGTGTGTATCTGTATGTGTATTAATGTGTATGTGTATTTGTATGTATGTGTATGTCTATGTGTATTAGAATGTCTGTGTATCCGTATGGGTGTTAGTATGTGTTTGTGTATTTGTATGTGTGTTAGTGTTCGACTGTGTATCTGCATGTGTATCTGTGTGTGTGTCAGTGTTTTTGTATCTATGTGTGTCTGTGTATAATGATGTGTTTGTGTATGTCTGTGTATATGAGTATCAGTGTGTGTGTGGCAGTGTAAATGTATATGAGTATACATCTCAGCATTCAAACTTCAACACTACATACAAATACACTGCTGCATTAAAATGTGAATACTATATAGACACACCCTTTCATTCAAAACCCATAAGAAAAGCATGGCAAATAGTGGTAAGGCCCACTTATAGGAATTATGGGAAAATATAACCATTCCAGGAAGGAGGCAATGGACCTGCCAGGGTTTATCCCCTTGGAATAAGTAGAGTAAAATTTGCAGACAGAAACAAAATTATGCAAGCATCTGTGATTGGCATCTTCAAGGCATCCCCCATGTGGTAGACCCAACTGGGCCCATAGAACTTCCAAGAAGGAGATAGGGGGACAAAAGTGATGGGGTATTCTACTGCTAACCCCCCAACTGCTAATAAGTTAGAAAGGTCAGAGTGATTTCCCAGTGACCAATCAGCCAAATGTGCATACATTTATGTGCATGTTGACCCAACAAGAAACATGGTGTGGATGTATTCGACATGTGAGGTAGGGGCAATATGGCTACACCTAGCAAAGAATATATTCTCTAGTAACATGTATGGATGGGGGAGAATGGTTTTACATGTTCTCCAGTGTAGCACAAAGTTGCAATAGCCATCAGTAATGTTATACTAGAAGTTGCAAGAAATTCACCTATAAGTTCAAAAAATACAACCATATTGATGCATGGGGTTTCTTCAAAACCAATGACTCCCACATTCTACATATAAACTTCAGAAAAGCAGAATATATTTGAAGCAGCTACTCATTTCAGAAAATGCTAATGGATTTACTGTAATGTTATAATATCCAGAGATTTACTTTTTTCTATTTCAATAGTTTTTCATAGATGATGAATACAATTTAGCCAATGTATTCACAATCACCTGTGGATTATAAGAAATCAGATTAAAATCAAGCTTTTACTGCTGGGATAGTAGTTCCTCGATTTCTCTTCCAAGGTTTCCTTGCCAAAATGTAATCCAATTTATTGGCTTTGAAAATGCAAAATTGTTATGTCCTCTCTCTTATTTAGTGCATTCATACAATACATTTTCACTTTGTATTTATATATGTAATGCCAGTTGCTTAGTGTTGTATTTAGAAGATCTCTCTATCCTATTACATAGGCTATGCACAATAATTTTGATCTACATTCACAGCAAAATTGGTATGTTTTACAAAAGAATAAAGCAAAGAGTATGCTAAATATAATATAAATGTGCATCTTTCAATCTGCTTATTATTTTCAGGTTTGCTGTGTTTCCACACATACTTATTTACCTAATACTAAAGTTGAGCGAACCGAACATTACATTTTTTGGACCCTGGACCTGAACACAGACATATCAGTGTATGTTCGGGTACGAGTTCGGTGTTCGGCGATTTAATGGCGCGTTTTGAAAGGCTGCAGGGCAGCCAATCAACAAGCGTTTGACTCGTGTGCCCTTAGAAGCCATCACAGCCATGCCTAATAATGGCATTGCTGTGATTGGCCAGTGCAGCATGTAACGCAGCCTCTATATATAAGCTGGAGTCGCGTAGCGCCGCACGCACATGAGCTCTTATTAGTGTAGGGAGAGGATGCTGCAGCTGTTAGGGACAGATTAGGAAAGAATTCTGGTGTTGAATTTGCAAACTACAGCGATTATTCAAACTACAACGATTATTCAAAAAACAGCGATTATTTTTGTGGGTGCTATAATACTACATTTTTGTACCCTGCCCTGAGCCCAGTGCCACAGAGAGTGCAGTGCACTTGCAACTGCATGTGTGCCAGGCACATTACTTGAATCCTGTTCTGGTAGCTCAGTGGGCAACATTTTTAAATACTGCAATTTTTTGGGTGCTAAATAGTACATTTGCGTACTGCATTTCTTGCAGTCCAATAAAACCCTTAAATACTACTACTACATTGTTGGTTTAAAAAATCTAACTTTTTGGTGCTAAAAAGTACATTTGCGGCCTGCGGTGCACTTCATTTCTGAGAGTCAAATAGAACCGTTAAATATTGTGCTTACATTGCAGTTTTAAAAATTCAAATTCTTTAGGTGCTAAAAAGTCAATTTGGTGCCTGCACTTCATATCTGAGAGTCAAAAAGAACCGTCAAATACTGTATTTACAGCGCATTTTTAAACATTCAAATTCTTTAGGTGCTAAAAAGTCAATTTGGTGCCTGCAATTCATATCTGAGAGTCAAATAGAACCATTAAATACTGTGCTTACAGCGCATTTTTAAACATGAATTCTTTAGGTGCTAAAAAGTCAATTTGTTGCCTACACTTCATATCTGAGAGTCAAATAGAACCGTCAAATACTGTGCTTACAGCGCATTTTTAAACATTCAAATTCTTTAGGTGCTAAAAAGTCAATTTGGTGCCTGCACTTCATATCTGGTGTATGTGTGCAACACTGGCTAGTTACCGCTTCTCAAGAAAGTCTAAAGAATTGAAAAATAAGTGTTATTGTGATCGCTTCATATACAGAAGCATTAATATACATTTCTAAATGTTGTAAAGACACAACTACAAAGTTAAAAACCAAACACCAAAACAACGTGGAATGAAGGTCATGCGAGTGACGTGTGCAGTTTGGAGGAAGAGGCACTGGTGGCACAGAGGCATCAGCACAGCATAAGAGGGAGCAGGGTGCAAAAGCGGAGCGGCCGTCCTCTAGCGCTCGTCGGCATGTATTATCTTTAGAATTCCCACAGTTATCCAAGTAACAGATGGAGCGATAAAGGGAACCATAACAGATTTAACGAGCCATTCGCGGTTTAGCAGTCTGGTGACCGTGACCCATACACTGTCTGGGCTGCGGTCGGACGACCGGGACCCAGTATGCCTGATGTTGAAGTTAGGAGTCACAGCGTGGAATGCATTAGCAGGATCTGGTGCAGGGTGACTGCATGCCCCCTTGTGTTGAGCACCAGCGTTTGTGCGGCCACATACCAGGACCCTGATGCAGCTTCAGCGAGCAACAGCAGGCGATAGTGGAGTTTCAGCTGCAGCACGCATGGGTCAGTCGCTCTGCACCAGACTTGCCCTCCAATTGATCCAAGTTAAAGGATTTAAACTGGACTCATTACAATTACAGGGCCTCGAAAGAGTAGTGTATTGTTATTTGTCGTCACTACGTCCCCGCGTCGGGAGTGGGTAATTTGCGCGCCTCCTGCCTTCCTTGCATGTGGTAGTCGTTTCTCAGGCTCCCTCTCTGGAATCGAACCCAGATTCCCCGTTACTCGTGGTCACCATTGTAGGCGCGAAAAATTGCATTGAAAGTTGATAGGGAAGACATCCGAATGCGTTGTCGCTGTCACAGGGACGTGCTATCGGCACAAGGTTATCACAGACAAGCACAGCCACCTGTACACGGCCAAAGTGGACAAGCTCACATTTATTAAAATGAACCAGGTATGGATCCCACCAGACTTGTCTGTACCTTGTGCAGAATAGACATTTATACCGGCCTCATCCAGCCATTGTTATACTCAAGTGTACTTATTCTTTTTTTTTCTTTTTTTATATGTCCCAATATTTTGGGGGCTACCCCAATTAAAAAAATAAATAAATAAAAAACAGTGTTGGCTACCTGTAACAGAACTGCTGGCACCCCGACGGGTACCTTCTGCCAACGGATGTTCCTAGTGCTTTCTGAGGACTCCAAGCACTCTGCCCGACAACATAACCACTGCAGACCCCACGAATCGCCGCAGCTTGGTTAGGGTCTCGCCGTCTCCACCCACTCTGGACCCAAGACCAGGGTCCAGCTTCCAGTAGGTCGACCTCTCCAAATTCCAGAGAGCAGGAACAGGAACAAGCTCTTAGCAGAGCTTAGTGATCATACCCTGGGGAGCATAGTGATTATAGCAATCCCCAGAGTGTAGTTCTCCAATCCCCCAAACATGAGCCGAAACTTCATGAAGGTACAAGATGATCTGAACTTTTAATGACACATGCTCTGCTTTTATGCAATTCTCCCCTGCAAGGGAGACACCCACAGACAATTACACAATACCCAATCACACCATGGTTACATCCCACACATCTCCTCCCCTTAGCCTGAAAGGTAACCCAATTATCCATACATTTTAAAACACACTTTTTTACCCAACTTTCATAACTCTAAAACTATACATCCAATATTCAAAAAAATTACATATTATTAACCCCTTAAGACCGGAGGGCGTACAATTACGCCCTATTTTAGGTGGCTCTAAACACCGCCGGGCGTAATTGTACGCCCTCCGGTCTTTCATTACTTACCCGGTCGCCGGTGATCGCGGTTGGAGGGGGGCTCCCAGGGCACTTGTCCTACTCTTACCCCCATTTTACTTCCTTTTGCAGCCCTCTAGCCCTTTCCAGGACTTTTTTATAGCCATTTTTGTGCTCAAAAGTTCGGGTCCCCATTTACTTCAATGGGGTTTGGGTTCAGGGTCAAGTTGGGGGTCAAGTTCGATCCCGAACCCGGACTTTTTTCCGAAGTTTGGCCGAACCCGCCGGACCCGAACATCCAGGTGTCCGCTCAACTCTACCTAATACATAATATTAAGATAAACAGACAGACTGACATATAAACTAACAATGTATATTGCGAGATGAAAAAAACTCTTGGGTGTGCAAGGTTTAAAAAATACTGTAACTATTGGAGATGGAGTAGGGACATTGTTAAAATGACAGTGTTACATTCTATTACTTGGTCCAAGGATCCAATAACTAAGACACAACAGAACACTCGCACCCAATCCCAACTATACATGACCCACCCATTGTCCACGTGCAGGGGGAAAGCTTTACCAACACAGTCCAGTTGATTGTAAACCTTGGCAGAGTTGAATACATCAGTGTTACATTTCACATACTGTATTGTATGACTTTCTATGAAAAAACAAACAAAATGAAAATAAAGATTGTCAAAAAAAAAAATACTGATAACTAAATAATAACCCTGCAAGGATTCTTGAAACACACAGGTAGTCAGGAAAGAGATTGGTGGTTAATATAATGGTTAATAAAATGCAATGCCCTACACTTTATTTAAGGTTGGCAGGTGGGCCTAGTATTAAAGACTTTGCATACCCACACTCCATAAACATTATGTGAAGGTTAATAAGTGAATCATAAGAGTCTCTGCATGTAAGTAGACTTGACACTGCCCACTAATTTGAACCTCTGTCTAATGCTGTATGATGGCATAGCATACATATTTCACCTTTCTGTACAGTAATATGTGGTTTCCCTTCCATGAGTAATCAAAAGAAGTGGGGAACAATGTGGAGCCTGGAGATGCTTAGCCTTTGTATTCACAAGCATGGGTACCACAAAGTAGCAGCATGAAGGAGTGGTAAATAAGGGTGGGAGAACATTTATCTCTAAAATGTGATACAAATCACTTTTCCGTAATACACCAAACAACACCTAGATGTCATATCACACATCAATGAGTATGACATGAATATAAATTAATAAACACATACAACAATAGTCTTTTATCTTGTTTCCCACATTTCAAATGCCTTTGAGGTTTGACACAAAAGCAAAAGAAAAAAAGTGAAGTAGCGTAATGAAAGGAAGATGATGCAGTTTGCAAATTAGAAGTAAACATTATTTTTCCTATACTTGCGTATATATGGTGCATTTTCTTTCTTCACATAATCTAGTAATAATTGATGAGCTCTAAAATGACTCATCTTGCTAAGTATAATAATTTATTTTTGTTTGCAAAATAATTAAGTCAGCAGAATCTCACTGGAACATTGTAAAAGAGAATTAATCATTAAAATTTGCACAATCATATTTATGTTTAAAGGTTCAGCGTTGACTATAAAAAAAAAAAATGAGTTAAGTGTTGTACCATGTTAAATGTGCTGTGCCTACAATAAAAATCGTTAGATAAGTGCTGTAAGACATTAAGGGAAGTAAATGAGCATATCTGTCTTTTTATATTTTCACTCGTAATCATATGAAATCTAAATAGAAAGAAATAGTGAGCTTGTCTTCTTGAGTTAGCTAACTAGTATAAACAGCACAATCCTTTGTAATGTACAGGTTTCACTGCTATATTTCACATAAATTTTCAGGAATTGGGATCCGTCATAAAGCTAGGATTTGACACATCCCTCCTGATTCAGAGGTGTTTCAAAGAAATTGACTAATTTACTTGTTTTAAAGAAGCAGTTTAGGCTTTTTGGGAGCAAAGCTAAGTGCAAGTTCGAAGAACACTGGCTTTCACAGCAAGGCAGATAAAAAAGAGGGAGTTGGAAATTACGTGTCTCAACAATAAATCATAGGCTACATTCACAGTGGCAGTGAAGACTGATGGATCATTTTTTTATAGGGTTACTCCAACCAAAAAAAAATGTTTTTTAAGAGAACATTGTTTTTGGTCAAAGTAACCCATGCTATCCTGGCCCCCTTCAAAATAAATAAATAAATGAAAACAAGAAAATAGCTTCAGTTCCAGCGCCATGATCACATTTTCTCAGCAGCCCTTCCTTCTCCTGTGAGCAGGCAATCTGACTTAGTTTCGCAGAGCATGCCATGCTGCTATTGGTGGATAAATGCCAGCATTGTGGTAGTGCTGACAACAGATGCCAACTATGCATAGAACTATGATGCACCAATAACACTGCTAGAGCTGTAGTAACACCTCTGACAGCAAATGGCTTAAACTCTGTATGTTCATCATTTCAAACTGTAAAAGCTACACATACAGACTCCAAGCATCATGACCACTTCAAATCAGTGAAATGATGAAATGTGCTTGGCGTAACACTATAAAAGGACAAAGGTATAAATATGGTAAGGGAACTGTGATGGTAGTCACTATCACTGGGAGCAGAAGGACACTTTACACAGGTTCCTAAATAGTTCTTATGTTTTAGTCACCCTGTGCCCATTATAGGGAGTGTATAATTCTTCTTCATAAAATAATTCTTAATTCTTCTTCATAAAAGCGTATCAATTAAACTGTTAATAGCTCCTGACTGATTCTTCTTCTGCAACTGTCACTAGTCTAATACTATCCTTACCTTTTTGTGTCATTTTACCCCACTCCCTCTAGCATGTAAGCTCATTGAGCAGGGCCCTCAACCCCTCTGTTCCTGTGTGTCCAACTTGTCTGGTTACAACTACATGTCTGTTCGTCCACCCATTGTAAAGCGCTGTGGAATTTGATGGCGCTATATAAATATCATATTAATAATAATAATAATACTAATATAATATAATTGATATAATTGGTTGTGGTTTAATGTTTTGTGTGCTCTCCTGTCCAGCTGACACATGCTACCAAGAAGGTGGATTTGGCTGTGGAGCCTTTACAGCACCATGTGTTGGTAGCAACAACTATGTGCACTACCTGAATAGCAAGGCTTGGTAATTTGCATATTCAGGTAGATTTGCATATTGCTAATTCTGCAGGCAAGAGAGATATTTTGTGTTAAATATTGTCTTCCTCACCACTTTATAGTTATGTCAGTATATTATTATATGTTCCTGTATGTTGTCTAATGTGATTTGATTGTTTGTATTTTTATTGAGCTGTCACCATTACTTCTATGTAATGAGCCAATGGGCTAGTCCCAAGAAAAAAGATGAGTATATTAGTTCATTTTGGAACAGTGAGTCCTGTGAGGATTTTTAGGATCCATGTTGGTTGGCTGCACGATCCCTCTAGCCTTGGGACAAATCAAAGAGAGCAAACTAGACCTGAAGGCCGCAAGAGTCTTTATAAAGAGAAGAGCAATCACCTAGCAGGCAGAGGTGCATACCTGCCTGGAAGGAAAGCTGAAGAGCGGATGATTCCTGCCTTGAAGAAGGGATGCAGCCGGGTTGGGTGAAAAGAAGGACCCCAGTCAAGCTTTGCAACTTAGTTTGAGGCTCTTTAGGGTCCCAGCAAGTGACTAGGAAGCAAATTGGGCAGAGGTGCTCAGCCGGAGTACAGGAGCTCCATCACAAGGACATATTACAAAAATCCAAAACACTAGTTAAAATAGGCTGAGTATCAGAGAAGAACTAAAATATAGCAAATTGTATAAGTAATTATATACAATGCACAACAGCTTTGTGTACAGTTACCAAGAGTCAGATGCAAATTGAATAACTTTGCAACTCACTTGACTGACAAGATCTCTACAATCAGGGAAGAGATCTCTCATCTCTCTCCTTCCACTTACAACACTTCCTCAAACCTCACTCTCTTTTCTGTTCTATGCTCATTCGCACCCGCTACAGCGGAAGAGGTTTATATTCTGCTCCGGTCCTCCCGCCCCACCACCTGCACCCTTGATCCTATTCCCTCGCATCTCATCCGTACTTGGTCTTCTTCTCTTGCTTTGCCTCTCACTAGAATTCTCAATCCATCCCTC